TTTTTTTTTTTTTTTTGCGTTTAAACTTCGACGGCCATTAACAAAGATACTACAGGTGTATATTGTAATTTGATGAAAGCAAAGATAAAGCCTTACCTAGCAATGCGAGAGTCGACTGTGGAAAATCTTCATCCTGTTGAAAACACAAAATGGTTGTCCCCCACGACACTTCAATTCCCTTTTGAGTCATAAATAGAAGGGTTGCAATCCCCAGCACAACCCAACCTCTGTAGATACAAGGAGATACCATCGCCGTGCGTCTTGATAATTAAAACCAAAGGACGGGTGCTAAGGTGTCTGTTATGATGTTATAATTCCGAAATTATTGCACGAATGCAGCCAGTGACGTATAAGTGAATGAAAAATAAAATCATAAGTCCCTGATTTGAGCATCAACCCACCTAGACAGCCTGTACCTTGACATAACTATCACTGCACCTTCACCTGTGCAAGCGCGTCTGATCGCTTCAATATCAACATTTTCTTTATGCTACAAAATACTTAGTGAACTTATAACATGAAAACTATCGCCTAACCTGAATAAATGCTTCTGGCAAGAGGAGGGCTCAAAACCAGTTTTAGTGTGAAGTACATGTAGAACCCCTTAAAACCAGTTTTAGGGTTAGGTAGAACTACAGTGTATCACTGCTTTGATGGATCCACTCATGTGTTCCTCTGTTTTTTTGTAAGTGGGTCATACGTAGAATTACTTGACAAATAAAACACATCGAGTGTGACTGAGATGTGACATGCCATACAGGTACAAAAATACGTGTGTATAAACAGACGCCGAGGTTAGTGTAACCCATTTAAAGCTGGGTAACAAGTACATTTGATAACAAAGAAAGAGCAAAATAGCTGAACTCAGCTTAAAGGTGTATGATCATCTACAAAGTTCACGCATTTCTTCCTTATATTCAGCAACACTATTCACGTACCCCATTTACACTGTACACTTCATACATGATAGAGCCACCAGAAAATGATAAGGGTGGCACAAGGTCTTCAGTACGTGACATATAGCTCTTTATTACTGGTCACTTAAATCTAGTAACGTTCAATAAAACTAGCTTAGATGCATGGGCGCCCATGACTTACTTAAGGTAATTTAATAATATAATAACATAAGGCCGCATTCACATCTACTTGAGCCATGGTTCTACAAAGCCACGACCTAAATATGGCGGACGTACGTGAAAGGAAAACCGCCTAATCTTTTAATAGTCTCCCCGCCTCTCGCACGCCCCCCCCCCCCCCATGCGTCGTCCCTGTGGGGGTACAGTCATTAAATCTCGGCTCCATTGGGAAGACACATGGGGAGGCGTGTGAGAGGCGGGGAGACTATTAAAAGATTAGGCGGGGAGACTATTATTTCTTTATTTGAACAGTGCCTTCTTAATGCTCCTGCATTCCAAGTAATAACCTTAATATTTTCACTATTTACATTTTCATGTATGTTTGTACTCTTTGCCCGGCCACTCCCCTAGTCAATATTCACTTGTGTCTCCCGTCGCCTGGAATGGTCACCACCAACCAACACTGGGATATTTTTTCCTTTGCCGAATGTGTATGTTTGGCCGTCGACAACTAGTACGTCGAATCTGAAATATGGACTTTTATCCTTCTCCATACACTCTTTGAAAAAACCAAAGGACGCAATTTTGAGACTCGTTCCGGTAAATCTTGACTGATGCGGAAGGGGAGATTTTGATCATAACGTTTTGATCGAAATGCAGACAAAATCCCATCCTTTATTCTCAGGCTACTGCAACTTATCAAGACGGGTCTCGGCTTCGTTCTACAAGGGAGACGAAATACACTTTCGAAGCGAAAATCTTCGTCTGTAAGCTTTAGATGCTCCTTAAATTTATCTATGACCTTGGAGCACGTTGTTGTGGAATTATCAGCTTCATCCTCTGCAATGTTAAATACTTTTAAATTCTTTAATTTACTCTGCTTTTCAATGCGCTCCTGTTTTTTTTTAATTGTGTCTGCTAATTTTCCTTCAACTTTTTACAATTTTGCGTTCAATGCTGTCATACTTTCAGTTAGTATCGCATTTTCTTCTTTGAGCTTTTTATTTTCGTCTTTTAATTCAAGCACATACTTTTCAAGGTGGTCGATTTTTTTGTTCATGGATTTGACATCTCTACGTATTTCGAGTAAAAGCCCTTTTGTGTCCGTGTCAGAGTTTTCCTCATCCGAACCCTTAGAACCATCCGTATTTCCACTAACTGAGATCAATGAATGACTCCCACGTCCACTGCCTCATTTGGATGCTCCACCTCGTGATTTTCTACCTGTGATATTAAATTCAACTCAGGGTGTGTTGTCAAGGTCACTTAGCTGGGACACTGAATGTATCTACTATTATGTCATCCACACACAACCACTATTGACGTACTGTAATGCAAGGTGTGAGTAGTAGTCACTAGCTGTTACAAAACATGTTTGATTCACTCACATTTCTAATCATTTTGCCATAGTTCAACTTTTCAGTATACCATTTCCATCGACATTGGGATCTCGGAAAGTTCTCATTTCTTCTGATACCACTTTTGTCCACTTTTAGTTACATCTCATGCTGTAAATTTACAATATAACGCAGCACCCGAATGTTCATTCCTGCCCAACCCAGTAGTCAGATAATTTCACTTCAAAGAGTATTTAAGACATGTCAGAGACAGGGTTTGTTTGGATCTCTGTAGATAACATATAAAAGAGACAAACGATGTTTTCCATCAAAATCCCTATACATGTTCACGTGTATGCCGCCAAGGTAACTTGAAAATGTTTGGCCTGGGTTTCAAAATGTCTCAGTCGAAGTTGTATGCCGCCTGTATTATTAAAAGCAAATACAAATCCTGGACGACACATCAGTAAAGCACGGGTGCTGCAAGATACGCTGTAATAGCAAGGTGCCTCCGTATCAATTGACCTTCATATTCCCCAGATCTCAGCATGACAGAACTTGCTTAGATCTTGATTGGAAAAGTGCGAGAAATAACTTCCAGTGCAAAACCTTAAACTGCTCCACACTAAAATCTGCCTTTGCTCTAGTTTGACTGTGAGCTACAACGAACGTTGTTTGGAATATCTCAGTAGATTAATACGAGATCTTGTGTGTAGACACATTGTACGGATGGAATATCAACGTCATTAAGGTCAATCCACATTGTCCTTTGAAAACATTGTGATGGTGCATGGTGGACGCAGGTTATTTTTTTCCAAATTTTCAGTTGAACGAATTTCTGTTCTTTATCACTTCAAAACTTCTCAAATCCCTGCACTTATTGATGAATATGAGCAAAGATGTTGCAATTGTATAAAAACGAACGCGCCAAAACAAAAGGCAATGCTCAGGAACACTGCGAAGTAACTGTCTGTGACGTCACGGATATATCCTGGCCCCCGTTTCACAAAAAAACTTAAAGTCGGTTTCCCTGACTAAGAGCTTGGTTACCAACGTAATTAAGTCGTTACGTCACTAAGTCCCGTTTCACAAAGAATCTAAAAGGTCGCTTACGTCGTTTTTTTTCTTAGCTGCTAGTCGACGATGTCTAGCCTCCTCGGGAGGAGACTTAAGTCGGCAAGCTCAACTAAAATTCGGTAAATGAGAGCATAAACAACAAAAATTTGGAAAGAACATACCTCCTTCAAGATATTGTGTCATAATATCCTTGAATAGCACTGACATTTATGGAATATTGAAATAAAAAAATAAAATGCCATTTCACCCAGCCGATCGCGTGTTTGTTTATGTTTTTGACCGCTAGACGTCCGTCAGCAGTGTTCCACGACAAGCTTTTCCATAGAAAAACAAGGTCTAATCCAGTTACTGTTAATTTGCGTATTTTAAACGCAAATTGCCAAATATCACGTAAAGCTATAACAGGTAATTGTTTTCAATGAACGTTGATGGTGGGC